CTAGAACCTTTTGTGGAATGGAAAGATTCCATGGATGTTAAAGATTCCTCATGGAACGATCGATGCCAATAAAGAACTTTTAGTTTTAAGAGCGTAGAACAACTTTAACCGTCAAGGGTTTGTGTATTTTATGGTGGTTTACTGATATATGTCATAATTAATGTTGAATTAGCTGTGACCTGCTTTACTGTCGCTGTAAAGCTTTTAATAAATGTAGGTTGGATTATAACTTTAGGAATTTCTTTATAAACAACTACTGTTTTAATTATAGTTTTTGTTAGCTTGTTGAATGACCTCTGCTAAGATAGATAAGTAGAAGAGATCTAACGACAGTTAATCTCAATTATTAGATGAAATTGGGTCTAGATTAAAAGAATCAAACTATCTTCAGTCACTAAAATGGCCATTCAACAAAGCAGGCTGTTCATGTAATTATAAGTGAGTTTCCTCACTGTAGCTCTGCCTCTGGTGAACATAATGAAGTATTGATCCATTTTCATGCCGAAATTGGACTTTAATATGACTTTTGCTGGTCAACTGCACAGGCTGTCCTCCTCAGGTTGGGGTATTTTTTTAATTTTGAGATGAATCCCATTTTAACACATAAAGGGCTTTTAAATTAAGAGGTGGTGTATTTGAGAACTGCTGTGGTTATGTCCAGTGTTGGAATGATTCGTGCATTGCTCTAAGACTGACCGGAGCGTCGCTTATCCAGAAGTTTGTTGAGTTCACCGGACCGTAACGCTCTGTTTGTAACGGACCTTTGACTCGGAACTAATGAGACGGAAACAAACGATGACAGAAGTTAAATACTATGTCATCGAGCAGATGCTCAGATGTAGAATTTAATATTTTAATTTGTCAGAAATTTCGACACTTCTTTTAACTGAATAGGCCTAGCCTATATTTTTACATAGCATCAAACTTTTTTATGTTGGCTGCATTTTATTAGCAAGGCCTATATAAATTAGCTATTATTATTAAAGATGTATATTAGAATATGAACATTTTGAGGCCTTCATTACTTTTTTGTGACTTTTTGTTTGTGTGCGTGCATGCGTGTGTGTGTGTGTGTCAGGGGTCTACCGTTATTTTGGCAGATTGCTCATTTTAATTAACGCTCATTTTGCGCGCATCTGGCACGTGTCTAGATTTAAATTAATTTTTAAGATTCCGTTTAGTTCACTCAAGGAAAAATAATACACGGACGGTCAGTGTTGTTTGTTGAATGAACGAATGAATGAATTTGCAGTTGGTCATTTGTCAAGACATCTCGGCACATATTTTGACAGATAGGAGACGGGAGAGAAGCTGCTATACCGTTATTAGAGAGTGTAAGTAGGCCTAGTTAAAATCCTACTAACAGCTTAACTGACAGTTTAATCTTTCACTATTATTGATTCTACTTGGGAATCTAACGAAAAGCACCAAACAATCCAGCCGGAGGCCTATTCGTGTGTTGTTTGAGGTAAATTTAGAGTCTAATCATGTAAGCCTATTGTCTACTCTAGCCTACTTGTCAAACATAAAGTTTGACGTTATAAATGTAGCTTACACTGTTGAATGAAATTAACCAAATATCTCGAGTTTTTGTCCCAACAGAGTGAAAATTAATTTAGTGCACTTCATTAAATACACCACGCGCTGAAACTGACGCTGTGCCCCTCCCCCTCCAAATCTATTAGCATATAAAACTGTGTGTGTGTGGTAAATGTAGGTCACATCGATGAGGACTGCATACTTTGTAATTAGAATTATCTGGTAAACACCTTATTCCGTGTTTTAGTGAAAGCTGAATAGCCGTTACTTAAAGGACGCCGACACCATATTGAGCCTCGAACTAGATGAACTTCATTTGGCCACTTGTCAAACAAACGTTATTGTCAACATAAAGCGGCTATAGCCTAAGTTTAATTAAAATATTTTGATTGTCTGTATCAAATAGCCTATGCTTTCCAGATCCACGGCACTTACACTAAACAAGTCAAATGTGGACAACCCCACATTTAAATTTTTGAAATACAATTTTAAACCCAACGGTTGGGTTTGTCCATATTTGACCCAAACATGGGTTGAAACAACCCAGCATTTTTTTTTTTATGTAGCCTATAATTTAATAAGGAACGTTCTTAGAAGCTTTTTGACATTTTCGATTTTTTTAAATATTTTTTTTAGATATAGGCTAAAGTCTGTTTTTTGTCAGCAAGTTCAATAAGCAGAAGTGACTTTTGAACGATCATATCCAGCAATTTAGCATTTTAGCTAGCTGATCTGCTCATAGATTAACCATCGTGAAATTTGCTAAATGTTGGATAAAACATTTGGATAAAAACACCATGTTTACACAGATATTGATATTAGTCTTCATGATTTCTATCAGTGTTTTCGTCTTAAAAACCTTTCTTCATATTTATATGTTTGAGTGTCGGCCAAAACATTTCGATCTTCCATGTTGATATGGTTTGAAATTAATTCAGGCTTTTATGAGTCACCAGTCTTAGCTTATGATTGTTGCTGTTCTTTATGATCTGGTGGCAGCCAGCTGCCAGTCACAGTTTGGGACGCTTTTAATCCAATGTTAAATCAATTACAGTCAACTCTGGGCCAAACTTGGACACCTCCTCTAAAGTTTCATTTTGCATCTGTTATTTTTAGTTCTAATTTTCCATGGATTGGTGGCGGATTTACGTGGTGAAACGATCTCGAGAGCATCCAGACCTAACAGATGGACTCGAGCCCTGACCGGTACAGCGTGCATATGTGCATCCGCTGCTGTGCGCGTTAAGCCCTATTAAGACCGTCTACCGTGCAACTGGTGCTTCTCTCAATCCCGCGAGCTCTCGCAGACTACACAAGCGAAAGCTTCTAATCCCTCACGTGAGAGGACAGGTTCTCTCGCGCTCACATCGTGTAATTTACAGTCTGCCTGGAGGCCTTAGATATATATCTGAAACCAGACCGTGTTATTTAATAAGAGCCTCCTGCTGGGCGATTCATATCCACCGTCACCTCGAGACCTTTACAGTGCATTTACAGCACAACAACTAGCTCTTTTTACTCCACTATTCTGTTTTTAGTTATATAGCCTGTATTAAAAATCACTATGATTTTATTAGCTTAGCTGATAGCCTAGGCCTACATTGTGCCATGTTAATCTGAATTCGTCCTGGTCTTCTTGGATCATATAGCCTATTTATTTTCCTTTCTGTTTTGTTTACCAGAGAGAGAGAGAGAGGTCAATGATGTAGGCCTGCTAGCTCAATAATGTGTCTACTTAAAACAACATCAGTCGTTTTAGCTCGCCCATTAAATGAAAATAAAATGAGGCTTCCCTGCTCTCACGTTGTTTTTCGAGTAAAACATTTATGAAGCGAAATACGTCAGTATATGTGTATGTTTGTGAGAGGATCCTCCCTTTGCGCTCGAGGCGTCTCCGTGCGCCCTTCTCATGCACGAGGGCGCGAGCCCGCGGTAATGGCGGTAATTTGGGTTAAATAAAGGGAGCATCAGCTTTTTAAACACTTAAAAACGGCCAAACCTCTAGCAGACACCAAAACCTTAAGAGTTGAGTATTTTGCTGCTGGGGAGGGAGGAGACATTCAGAAACACTGAGAACGAGTGGGACTCACTTAAACGCACACTCACATTTGCACATGAGCAAAAGTCTTTCCCATGAACTGTTAAACCTCATTAGGCAACATATAGCCTACAGTTATTAATATTTCGGACCTTTATCACAGGCTGTGGGTAATATGGGTGTCCGTGTCTTGTCATGCACCTGTGTGGTTCTTAAAGCATAAATTTGACCGACATGCTGATTTAAGCGAAGACCCCCCCATGCGCGCTCGTCTCATCATCCTAAACGTGCACAAAATACTTCCAGCGTGGGTCAGACCGTCACTGTCCCGGTTCGGTAAACGACAGAACAGAAACAAATTGGCTGCAAGAGGATTAAACTGAATCATAAGTGACCAGAGAGCACCGATGTGTTCCAAAGCCATTGCTAAAATATGAAAGTATCAAAATACTAAATGAATTGGGCTAAAAAATAAATGAATAAATAGTGTGGTGTATTTAAGGTAGGCTACAACCGATAATAAAGAGGTAGGCTATAAATAGGCTATTTCTTTAAAATAGCATTAAAACAGTCTTTAAATGATTCGTACATTCAATATTATTCTGCTGTGTAATGTTTTCACAACATTATTTCCAAACGAATTTTTCCATTAAAAAAAAATGCTTTGTGTGATGATAATTAAGACAAATTAAAGGGAAATATTCGTTCTACCATGAACTGCACTTAAATTAAATTTGCTTTCATGCAACGTGTCTATCATTCAGTTAAATGGAAATTAAAATGTTTAATAAAACCGAATAAAATCACACTATAAACAAGTGAAATAACGAAACATAATGTTTAATCGTGCAATCATAATTACAGTGATAATACACCGAGTTAAACTTACGTGTTTGTTGGGGGGAAAAATCCAAAAAGCAGGTAAAAGGTAAAGCCGCGAGGAAAACAGAGACAAATAAAACTGGCCCTTCTACAGAAAGCACTAACGACCTTAAAGAAATGTCCACAAAAATCATCAAAAATGTTGAAAGCGCACTTGGTTCCTTATTAGGCGAAGATACAATATTTATTCCGTGTCTCCAGGGATGAGGCTGCTCTCTCTATTGTCCTCCCTTTCCTCAATGCTGATGCTTAATTTTCAAAACTTCTATATTACCAAGGGACCTACGACATCAGCCGGAGAAATACCCAGCAAGTACAAAATCCGAGCCAGGGAGCGCTTTGTGCAGAGGGGAGGCATTTCAGCCGCTTTTACCGACTGCGCGAGGCGACATTTCATTTTCACGCGCTATTTTGGGGATTTTTTTTTTTCTTTCATTCGTCCAACAGCGCGAGGAAATCGAGTTATTGGATCGCGAGAATGTCAGCCACATTTCCGGGACTGGTGCACGATGCGGAGGTATTTAAATTAATTTCTTATCACCTCACAATAATTTCATTTAATTTAACGTGTAGCATCGCATGGAGGAAAATTATGATCACTTAGAAAAGCGGAATGGAAGTTAAGACTTCTGAGGGGAGTTTGCTGCAAAGGCGAGGATAAATACTAGCCTATTCGGTTCTGGTGAAAATACATTTTAGGCTACTTGCTTTTTTCGGGTCTCGAACGTGCATGTAAAAATCTCCACAGTTATTGGAACCATTTGCTCGTTATTTTTTATTATAAGTAGGCTATTAGTAGTGCATACTATCGTGTCTTGTGCTTACCTGCAGTGAAACGGGCGTAGATTGTTGGGACAAAAAGCTTTTAATGTCGTTTGCACGGGTGTAGTAATAATAATATAGTCAAATAACACACTCCGTGGCAAATGATAGACAAGTGAGGGAGGGAAAAAACGCTGTGAGCTCGTGGAGCAGTTTGCAGTGTGTTTCACGCACTCCCTCCCAGGCACGGAGAGATGACATCGCCGTCAGGTACTTTTCTAAAGACACTTTGAGCTGCTGTGTGTGTTTGTGTGTTTGGGGAAGGTTTGAGTTTCCGCCGCGTGAGAAATGCGCGCGGATCGCTGCGAGCGCGTGTAAATGACATCCCTCATATTTTTCTCTTTTTTCCCCGCACAGATACGTCACGACGGATCAAACAGCTACCGTTTGATGCAACTCGGATGCTTGGAATCTGTGGCCAACTCGTCTGTCGCTTACTCTTCATCGTCTCCGCTTACATACCCAGCTACCGGAACCGAATTTGCCTCCCCGTATTTTCCCACGAACCACCAGTACACGCCCTTACACCACCAGTCCTTCCACTACGAGTTCCAGCACAGCCACCCGGCCGTGAACCCGGACGCGTACTCGTTAAACTCTCTCCATCACTCACAGCAGTATTACCAGCAGCTGCATCACGGCGAACCGGCGGACTTCATCAACCTTCACAACGCCCGCGCGCTCAAGTCCTCGTGCCTGGACGAACAGCGGCGGGAACTGGGCTGTCTGGACGCGTACCGCAGGCATGACCTGTCAATCATGAGCCACGGCTCTCAGTACGGCATGCACCCCGAGCAAAGACTGCTGCCCGGGGCGGGTCTAGGGCTGCCTCCACCGGGGGCCGATGACCTACAGGTACAACTTCTACCGTACTTCAAGCACAAAATACACACACTCAAATGTGTCGCCATCGCCTCACACCACGCGGGCTGAAGAGAAGTCGACGCCTTCAGGGATGTTGTATATAATCACTTTCACTGCCCGAACAGAAGAAATGATTGCCCGAGGGCCTGAACAAAAAACAACAACAACAAAAAACCTTAAACATCCGGAGAGATCGAAAAAGAAAAATCGAGGCCGCTCGAGCGATCACTTTCTTGTTTTCGGCCTATTCGCTTTCGCGCAACTAATTAATTTATTAAGACACAAAACATTATATAGTCTACTATTGCGAAATAAAATAAAACATAAAATAAGCAAACGAACAACGAAAAAAAAAGTAGGCTAGGCTATAGAAATGCATTAATTTACTAACACGTGAAACAAGACTTTTTAAAGCTAGCCTATATTTTGAAGCGTTTCCAAGCACCATATTTCAGTTGATTTAACAGGCGGATTTTACATATTTAATATAGTGAATATTGAGAAGTCTGAATTCAGCCGCGCGTATGTCGGGCCTCGCTGCTGTAAAGCCGCGGTTTCTTTTTCCTCCGTTAAAAGGCGGATTAAGGGCTTGAAAAAGTGCGAACAAAAGGCAAATCCTCCGCAGTAGAGCACCGTAGTTTATCCAATTTAGGACTTAATGTCAATCAACTGGTTATTTATGCACAGACATCTGAAACAGCTCAAGTTTAACTGGTGAGTCAAAAATATGTTAAGATCAAAATAATCCAGTCCTTTTAAAAATATGCAGCGAGAGAGTGAATTGAATTGATAAAATATATGTATTTGAGAGAAAATATTCTAGATAGCGGGTGATATTTTGGACATTTTACTTCATTGTATAGAATAAAATTTGTAAGAGTAGGCTACATTGAGCATTAAAACGATATCGACATAATTAATATAGAATTAATAGTAAAAATGCTCTATAAAAGATCAGAGCATTGCGCAATGGTATTACTTACTAATATAAAATATGTGAACTAATACGTACATTTTTATTGCTTTGACTAATAATAAAACTATATATATAACTGTTGCATAATTAATTTTTTATTTGCCCATCTTGATTTTCAGGGCCTATTTAAATAATGTGGCCAACGGAACTCTAAAACAATATAGGGAGCCTTTGTTTTTTTTTTTGTTTTTTTTTTTTTACATAGGCTATTTTACAATTGAATGCAATTTCAGAACATCGTATTAAACTGTTTTAATTCTATTTTAATATCGATGCAACTTTGCAATATATTATTTTTTTATCACCTTTATGGTATAGCCGTGGAAGTTTAGGCGTGTTCAAAACAAAAATCGTAAAGATTAGTTTTGGTATTGCTGTCGCGTGTTCAGACATTCTGCACGCGCGCACACACAAAAAAAGGCCCACAGGAGAACAGACAGCAACACATACGTCCCGTGAAAAGGTTTTGGACCTTTCTTTGGTGCTGAATGAAACCGTGCGCGCGGTGCAGGCCGCGGAACAGATGCGGGCAGTCTCGTGCGCACAGGCGCATCTTTGAGCCGCTAAACAGATTTGGCACGCGGAACAATAGAAGCTGCCGCACCTTTAACACGCACACGCGTAATTTATGCCTGATCCGACGGGTTTGTATATTGATTTTATAATCACTTTAACTGCGGGGAAAAGAAAAATAGAGCAGGAGTTTGTTAAAGGGTTACAAGAGCACGCCAGTATGGTGTCAGTATGGATGTGAGCGTGTGTGGGTGAAATATGTGTGTGAATGAATGCGTTTTTTTTTTTTCGTTTTTTTTCTTTGAATGTGTGTGTCTGACTTGGCCTCCAGACTGGTCGTGGCTCGTGAGACGGATTAACTCTTTTCTTTTGATGCAAGCCAGTGTTCCTTTAGCTGATGACATCACTGATAAGAGAATGTAAATAATAATCTTTGTCTGACATTACAATGTAACAGGTTCCGTTACCTCTGCAGTTTAACTAACCACGTGATCTGTTTAATGTGTCATACATGCCTGGTCAAACACAAAAACTGATCACAATACGATTTGTTCAATATTGATCATCACGTTAATATAGCCTATGTTTCTGTGTTTAGGGATCTGTTGATGGTCAGTGCGGACTTGTGTTAAATGGCCAAGGAGGAGTGATCCGGAGAGGTGAGGTCACAACATCCCTTCTACACTGTAAAAAAAAACATTTTTTTAGAAGCATTAAATAAAACAAAGTACACAAGAACATTCAGTCTTTCTACTTCAAAAATGCATTAACTTTTAAAACAGCGTGTTGCCAATTCTTTGTGAAATTTACTAGCACATTCTGAGTGAAAATGTCAGGGAAATTGTCAGGTCAGTCCTATCTTTCAAATGATTTTAGTCTTTTATAATAATAGTAAACTAAAATAAATACGCTAAATTATATTTCTATATGTATTAATTGCTTTCCAGTGACAAGACAATGATTTAATATTTTAACATAAGCATTTTAATTTAAAAAATAATACAATTCTATGTTAGTTTTATCCATTTATTTGCCAATAAATGGATAACAATTTATTGGCACCGTTGTGCCAATAAATGGCACAACGGTAATAAATGGCACAATAAATGGCCAATAAATGGCACAACCCCCCCCCCCCCCCCCCCCAGGTCTTGTATCATTTTAGTAAAACTTAAGGGAAATATTTTTTTAATTGTCTTTTTGTAGGAAGAAATCAAAAGGAATTGCATTAATGTAAATATCAATCAACAGGCCTACATAGTCCTAACTCTTAAATTATTGTTTGCATCATAAATAAATAAATAATTACAACAAAGAAATAATAAACATTTCAGTATCGTAATTAATTTGGCTACATTAAATACATATTGTATTTACATAATGATGTAATAATTTTTTATTTCTTTATTATTTCCTCAAGCAAAAAGGCACAAATTGATATTATCTTTTAACGTAATGTTATTCTATAACGTTTTTGAAGGCGAATATCAAGTAAGTTAATCTTATTTGTATTATTATTTTGATGTTTTGTTGTCATAGACGTTGGTGTTTTTTTACGTGCATTGTATGGAAATGAATGTTATCTTTAGTCTTAAAGCACGTTTACTGTTATTCTGTCTTTCTAGCTGACGTAATTCAGAGAAAATTGATAATTAATTAGTCAGAGAGAGCATAATTAAGGGACTGTAGGCTATATTGTTCAGAAGTTCAAACCCCGATAAAACACACATTTCTCAAGGTCATTCTCCGTTGACAGACGTTCGAGATAATCTCAGAGGAATTTCTGTATTATTCTCTCTGTCTGCCGCTGTATTTTGTAAAATCGCGAGTCTTGTGTGGATGAATCGAATCGTGTTCACGTTTCGTAATATTTTCTTAATATCAGTCGCATCTTTGTCTGCATGTCTCTTCAAAGCAGCAGTGGATCGACACACATGTGGAGTTTGCCATAAAGCGAACGGTGTCTTGGGCGCTTAATTTTTAATAAACTCTGTCTAGGTGTTGGGCTCGCCATCACTTCCAGTTAATGGTGTGCAGGATTTAGCCGCGAGCTCCGCCGCTCCAACCATCACAACCAATAATCATTGCTTTACCTCGCGCTCCGGTATCGATAGCTTCTCGCGCCTCGGGCGCACGCTTTGATATGTTAATGCCGCGCGGCTCCAAATTCAGTGGAGATCATATTAATGTTGTTCACACTGACTGCAGCTTTGGCTTCGTTGAATATTCAGATAACCTTTTTCAAAAGAAATCACTCAAGAAACGAGGATCCTACTTAGAAAAGTCGTCTGTGTTTTAATCATGATTATCCCTCTTAGCTTTCAGGAATTTGATCAAGCTACACTCCGCCTTTATACGCGCGCGCGCACACACACACACCTTCTCTTATGTGTGCGCGCGCGCGCGTGTGTGTTTTGGGTGCTGGGTGATGAGTGTAAACATACACCACCGCTACAGTTGAAATAGAAACAGAATGACATTTGGCCTATGTCTTTTTTTTCTTTAATTTTCGTGGCAAACTCGCAAAAAGCGCTTGATTCGCTTTGTGATCGCTCGCGCGCTGCCTCGGGCTACTCTCCCTCGCGCTTAAATACCCGCTATCGCCTCTGGGCCCGGCGCGCGCGACCAGACTACCGGCAATAGCTCTTTTTCAATTGCCCTTGGCAACATAAAATACAAACTACTTTGAATCAAAACATTTTGGGTGGAATTAATGTGAAGTGAACTTGCATGCTAGCAGAGATCTTGGGTTTGTCAGAGCGCTTTAGGGTGACTGATGAGGAGCAGGTTAGAGGCCCACTATAGCCAGAAAACCCCTTCAGGAACACACACATCCACACTTGAACACAAATACACACGTGGCTATATAAGGTACCCACACATTGATTCCAGCTCAGTCTGAGCATGTCATTTATAGATCTTTACAACATAAACGGATCTATCTATAGTATGGATTTGACATACAAAGCTTCATAAATAAACATAATGTTTAATAAATGCACAAATGGACAACTCCTGTACAAAACACAATTGTTCGTACAGGTAGTTAACTTAAAAAACTTGAAGTTGGAATACAATGCTACTGCATTTAAAAATGATAGCATTTTTTATTTATTATGCAATGCATGCAGGTTTTATGAGCTCATATTATGACAATATGGAATATTTTCACTTTTTTAAAATTCAGTTTTTTATGAATTCATGTAAATGCATACACCACATGGCCTTTTAAAATCAACTATAAAGCAAAGAGCCCAATTCTCTCTTTTTTACCCACCTACAGTGCACATTCATTTATACATTCATATATATTTTATGCGCATGGACATGTTATCCGTCAACCAACCCATATACATTTGCACAGCTTCAAAATAGCAAAATAAAAGCATTATGAATGATTATGATCAGTTCATCAGTTTCTGGTGATTTTCTCATTTGCACACTCACTAACAGAACATTTGTAAAGATTTGACCTGTTGTCTGTTGTTGTGTACAGGTGGCACGTGTGTAGTGAATCCTACAGACCTGTTCTGCTCTGTACCAGGAAGACTTTCTCTTCTCAGCTCTACCTCAAAGTACAAGGTCACCATCGCTGAAGTCAAACGCCGCCTGTCTCCTCCAGAGTGTCTCAATGCCTCGCTACTCGGTGGCATTTTAAGAAGGTAAGAGACCCGCTTTTAGCACACCTGGAACTCTAGAAAAACGATATATTAAAGCATCAACATCTGAACCAACTATGAACATGCAGCTTTGCACACAAGTCCTATAAGAGAAGCACAGGGTTAGTGTTGCTTGGCACAACAATGTTAGCTACATTCAGTCTGTAGACTGCCAATCATTGGAATGTGAAGGAAGACTCCTTTTTTACATATAGTTCAATGGCAAAACAATGCAAGACATCTGAAAGCGACAGAAAGAGGAAAAATAGACGGGGCATGGAGTCCTGGACACTTAAACCAGAGATAAAGAAGAGAATGTGGCTGTATGTGAGAGAGAGAGAGAGAGAGAGAGAGAGAGAGAGAGAGAGAGAGAGAGAGAGAGAGAGAGAGAGAGAGAGAGAGAGAGAGAGAGAGAGAGAGAGAGAGAGAGAGAGAGAGAGAGATGGAGAGAGATGGAGAGGGAATGAGAACAGTGAAGCTGAGGCTCCATTATTGATGAGGGACACAGACTGGAGAGCAGAAATGAGGCCAGTGACGAGAAGAGAGGAGAAACACACACACACACACACAGGACAAAACATCCTGTTAATGCACAGGTTCACTAACGCCTGCAAAAACACAAGAATCACCTGCAAAACATTCACAAATTCCTTCTATATAAAGGAAAAACGAGGATATTGATTGTTAAATGAATATTTGCACATTACAGCCCGAACTCATTATGCATGGCCATGAATGAGCAAACTAAGCACTGTGATCCTGTTCGGTCCTGAGTATTTGTATTCATTGAAAAATGCAAGGACTCGCTTTAGTTGTCACACAGCCACAGTTCTCATGTGCTCACTTAAGAATGTAGGTTTGTAGAGTGTTAAGGTTTAATAATGTAAAAGTGCTTTGGGAAGAAATGACTGGATGAGAAGGGCATGTGGATATGAAATGTGACATGAAGTGTGTTACTGATGGACTTTCTCCATCTGTGTGGGTCAGGGCCAAGTCAAAGAACGGTGGTCGCTGCCTCAGGGAGAAACTGGACAGGTTGGGACTCAATCTCCCAGCAGGCCGCAGGAAAGCAGCCAACGTCACGCTGTTGACCTCTTTAGTGGAAGGTTTGTGCTTTTTTCCTTTTAGAAATGCTGCTTTTTGAAGATGCTCTTGTTTATTTGGTTCAATGCTAATTTGATTCGATGCTAGACGTTTGTAGAGTGACTCATTTTATGAATGATTTGGTTAGTTAAAGTTGTTTAAAGGAAGCACTTTTACTCTGAGATTAGTAAAACTGCACGAAATATAATGGCAACTTGTTTTCATTTCATTTGGTTTTATTTAATATCTAGTATTTTTGTAATTCATTAGGTTGTTTGCCATGATATCTGAGTGTTTACATCAGAAAAGCATCTGGTTGAGTTGTTAAGGATGAAATCTGTTAAGATTGAAACATCCATTCTACCATAAAAGAAAAAGTCGGAAATATTTTTTGTCTACAGACATAATATTTATCACTCAAGGGAAGTTGGAAATGAATTGGAATGATATGAGGCAGATTGATGCAACATCTATGCAATTGTTCAGGCAGCATTTAGAGAATGAACTGAATTCCGAGCTTCATCTTTCCTCCTCTGTGTTTGTGTGTGTGTGTGTGTGTGTGTAGGGGAAGCGCTACATCTGGCTCGGGACTTTGGTTACACCTGTGAGACAGAGTTTCCCACCAAAGCGGTCGGGGAGCATCTGGCACGCCAGCACACGGAACCAAAGGAACAGAACGCGCGCAAGAAAATGGTGCTGGCCACCAAGTAAGACGGCAACTCTTTAGTGCTTTCAGCCAAATCTGTTTACACTTACCACTTTATTATGTAGACATTTAAAGTCTTGAAATAATGAGACCTTCATATACTCCAAAATCCACTCTTAAAAATCAAGGTTTTCACAGCAAAGCCATTTTAGTTCCCCAAAAGCCCTTTTATTAAAATAACCATTTTTTTCTCAATGTGAAGAACATTTGAATAATCAGAAGAACCTTTTCCACTATAAAGAACCTTGGAATGGATGTTAAAGGTTCTACATGGAACTATAGAGCCTAAAGCCAATAGATAAAACTAAAGCCAATAAAGAATCTTTCTTTTTAATTGTGTATATATATGAACGTCTTCAAAAACAGATGCGAAACTGCACCTTAGAGAATTAGATCTTGGAAAAGGTTTTGTTGCTGAGGATTGGTGGAGGCAATAATGTGTTTCATGCATGTGTGTGACGTGAAAACTAAGATCTCATTAAATCTCCTTTATGCATTACTTATGAGGAATGGCGCTTTTGTTTTATTGTGAGCGTTCCAATGCATTTTCCAGATGCGTCCTTGTAACTGTGTTTTCGAATGGCTTTGTGTCTCCAGGCAGATCTGTAAGGAATTTCAGGATTTGTTGAGTCAAGATCGATCTCCACTCGGTTCCTCTAGACCAACACCTATTCTGGACTTGGACATTCAGAGACATCTAACACACTTCAGGTATAGAGTCAAACCCTGCATGCAGACATACACGCGAATGCAAGTATTGTTGTTAATAAGCATTTTCTGTTGTCTTCTTCAGTCTAATCACGCATGGATTCGGTACGCCGGCGATTTGCGCGGCTCTTAGCACCTTTCAAACGATCCTCAGCGAAATGCTTAATTACCTGGAGAAACACTCGGCCAATAAGAGCGCAGGAACGCCAGACACCAGCCAGATCAACTCCAACTCGGACAAAACACTGCGCAAAACCAGCGAGGCACAGACGAAGGACGGTAAAATCGAGAAAACTGAATGACTCTGACGCAAGAGTGGCTGCTTTCCCAATTCCTGATCTGAGCCCTGATGGGCGGGCCTTGTTCAGGGCGTGGCTACTTGGGGCGGGGTTACAGGGATTTTATTCCATATTCTTTTATTTATATAACTGGCATAACTTCCTACGACCTCAGCTTTCCCTGTATGTACAAACCAGTCATTTCATTCTCACTACGCAAAAAACACGAACCATTTTCATTATTTTATAAGTTATTGAATAAGTTATTTTGCCTAAAGTTTGTCTGTATGTAATTAATGATTTTAAAGTTGCAATATCTTTTATTAAAAGACTCACATTCCATTTCTGCCAAGACCTAATTTGAGGTCAGTTTGAGACTGTAAATTATGACCGGCAACTTTCCCTGTTGCGTTAGTTACTGTATATTGTGCATGTTAAACTTTGTACACCATCTGAAACGGACATTCCCCACTGTTGTTCCAGAACACAAACTCTTGACTGCATTTGTAAAAAAAGTTATATATAAATATATAAATTCAATCTTTTCTTGTAGGCTTTGAACTACATATATGAAATAACCCTACATGCAAACTACTGGTGTTCAATAAAGCATATTGCTCAAAGTCTTATATTAACTCACATGACTGGGCTTGAAATTCATGTGCTTCTTGTGTGAATACAAATCATATTTTATGTGTATTTGCAGTGCTACAGTTATGGATTTGACACATTAATGATTAGCCTAATCAATCACATATTCAACTTAACCTGCTATAGCCAAAAATTCTCACTCACCTACGTTTGTTCTGTTAAATAAGTGTCTTTTACTCAGACGAGAAGTGTTCTCTGGCTGACGTTCCTCAGGCGTTTCCTCGTCCTTTATCTGGAGATCTACCTTCCTTCAATGAGCCTGAAGACCTTTAGTAGCGGGTTTAGGTCTGTTAGAATTTTAAAATGAACACTGGAGGAAAGTATTTGCTTTTCTTCACTCACTTACACGTGTACCTCGTTCACAGAGGATGGAAATACCCAGTGAACTCGTTCAACTTAACACTGAGAATATAATGAATGAAAATAATAATAATGAAACGAGAGAGCAGAAGCTGGTACACTGTAGAAATTATTTTCATGATTTGTTTCTTTTGTAAAATGAACTTACCGTAGTGAACGTGGTTCAGATAACATCATATTTTGAGTTTCTGTTGATTAAACCAATTTCCCTCAGTGCATTAACTCAATTTTAAGGCAACCAGGTAGCCTACCTTAATTTTCTAAGTTAAACCAACATTTTTTTTTTAACAGTAGCTTTATTTGTAGCCTAGAATTGTTACATTTTATTCATTTCAAAAACCATAATCACACAGGTGACTTGATTATTTGGACAAAATACATTTTCATTATGATACAATACATTTTAAATGTAAATAAAGCATTTAGAAAAAAGGCTGATGTAGGATAAATAAGCAGCCAAACAGCACAGATCATTAACAGCAGAGAAAGACCAACATGCTGTTGCACCAGAAGGCTTTACAAAGTCAATAACTGACTGACAGATCGATGCGAATAAGCTTTTCACAAGATAAAAGCGATTTACATTCATATTCACAATTTTTGAAGGAAGCCACTGTCTGATCTCAGTATAGTACTGAGGACGTTTCTATAATCAACGTCAGCGTTAACGAACTTAGCCTAAATATCAAAATAACACAATCTTGGGAAAACCCAAACAAGTCATTAGCGCATTTATTGTTTACGAGTTTGTTTGATCAGTTTGGGCGATTTCTTATACAAACGCTTCAAGTCGACCTAGTTTACGCCGTGAGTAGCCTAATTAACTAGTCTTGCCTAACGTTACGTTCAAAACGTAAAATGCCAACGAAAAGTCCAGGCAATTCAAAACCAAACAATTAGCATTTAATATTCCTATTTAAACAAACATTCAGTGGTTTAAAGAAACACGGAATTATTTCTCAAGGGATTCCTGTTCCTCCAACTGTTCAGGTTTTGAGTTTAATAAATCATAAATAATATATAGCCTACAACAACTTTATTCAAATTAAACAAAGGTCTAAATATATTCTTTACGCATAAGTTTCGATAGATGTTGATATTATAGCCTATAGGCTATTATTGCTTTGGCAGTTTTATTTAAACATAGGCCTAGCTTATAATTAGGCTACAGACTTAACGTTACCGTAGCTATAACAAAAACTAGGCTATTCACTTTTTTTTTTCGTTACAAATATAATATAATAAAAAATTTATTCCACTTTGTGTGTAGGCTAGTTTTTTCCCTCAGATTTAGCGTAGCCTAAACGTTCGCATACAGAGAGAACTTTGAAGGTCTGATGGGAAAGGTGCTTGTGAAGATTAATATTTTTTACAAGTCATCGTCCAGTGTCCAGAAGACGAATCTAAAGCATCTGGATTAGGTTTATCATTGTTGAAGACTTTTTGCCCTCTTCTGAAGGAGGTCTTCAACAAGAACTCAATGGATCTTTATCATGTTACTCGCGCGCCATCTTGTGGCTGGTTTGTGTAATGGCAGTGCGATTTTAAAATATATATATCATGTTAAATTTCTAGAATATAATTGCTCATATATATTTGATTGGTTTGCACATTAGTCAAAAAAAAAATGTGCACAGATAAAGCATAACCAAATCTTTACAAACCAATGCAATGCCAGATATGTGAGGATCTCTCTCTCTCTCTGCGCGCGCGTGTGTGTGTGTGTGTGTGTGTGTGTGTGTGTGTGTGTGTGTGTGTGTGTGTGTGTGTGTGTGTGTGTGTGTGTGTGTGTGTGTGTGTGTGTGTGTGTGTGTGTGTGTGTGTGTGTGTGTGTGTGTTCTCTGAGAATTTGAATGTGTGATTATGTTTCTAATTCAAATCACAATCTGTGCAGAATGAGCCTAGTTTCTCTCAAACTTCGACATCTGTCATGGCCTCTAGACATGCCCAGAGTGAGTGTGTGTGTGGGTCTGGCACTTTCTCTGTGGCAGCGGGGCTCCTGAAACATTAATCGCAGATTATTTTCACTCATCCATACGTCAAGCAGCATCTCAGTGGCCAATGCAACAGATCTGAGAGCACTTGAAATTGGGTCAAGATCAGTGAGCTCCGTTAGACTCGCAAATGTCCTACAGTACACGTTTAGTTTCTTTAAATCAGTCTGGAAAACATTAGGAGATGTAGAAAAATGGTTGGCAATGCAAATTAATTGTCAGTAACAAAACTTTAAATATAGAAAACAGTATAGGCTATTTCTAGTGACCCAGTGACCCCTTGTGCAGGAAGGAGGAATTGTTCCCTATAAAGGAGATCAACTTTAAATCAATGTCTTAAATAAATTGCTCTCTGATCTTTAGAAGCAAGATTATAATTAAATGGTAACCAATAATTATAGCACTAATTATTTGTTATAATAAAACGGAATAAAATTGGTTTTCCATTTACAATAATTTGTTGTTACCTCATATTTTTGCTGTTTCATAAATTGAAAGCCTTCATTAGAGACTTGTTGTCCGCCATTTCAGGTAAGCTTTTGCTCTTGTATTGACATAGTCTGACTAATGTCAATCTTTGATGTGTGTTCTTGCGCAGTTTTAAACGCAATTTAGCGGAAACTATGCAAAAAGTATGGTAAAATGTGTTGCTCTCTCTCTCTCTCTCTCTCTCTCTCTCTCTCTCTCTCTCTCTCTCTCTCTCTCTCTCTCTCTCTCTCTCTCTCTCTCTCTCTCTCTCTCTCTCTCTCTCTTTCTTTTCTAATTTTTTTTAGTATTGCTAATGCATGTTTTGGATTTAACTATGTTTAATCTCATTCCTAAAGGCATGTTTAAAATCAGTAAAAAACTTGCTTCGAGTTAAACTCATTTTTGTTTTCATTTCATTTGCGTGTTGATTCAGGCCATTGTAGTTTTGATAAAACTAAGTTCACAGTACCACTACCACGGTAGAAACAATTCTGTTCAGTAATCGCTTGATTCAGTTTAAAATGGTGCTACTCTCATTTAGCTGACTGTGAGAAGCGTTTGCCTCAATTCCGATTTACAGTTATTAATCGCGTTACCGCGTAATTTAATAATTCCTTAAAGGAAAATGATAGATAGGCTAAAAAATGCTTGTCACAGTTCATTCCAACCCACAGTTTTACAACCAAACAGCCACATTTAAAGAGATAGTTCACTCGAAAATGAAAAAACTGTCATTTATTAGGCTACTTGCCGTCATGTCCTTCTAAAGACTTTCGTTCATCTTCGGGAAACAAATGAAGATATTTTTGATGAAATCTGAGAGTTTTCTGTCCCTCCATTGACAGCAACTATCACTTTGAAGCATCAAAAAGTTCATAAAGAGATCGTAAAACTAATCCATATGAATTGAGTGATTTAGTCCAAATTTTCAGAAGAGTCTCGTTCGCTTTATATGATGAACAGATTGAATTTAGGCTTTTATTCACATATAAACATTCATCAACTCACACATCAGTTGTGGTATGTTTGCTTGATGTGCAAGAACCAGAGGTTCATTCTCGTGTTACGCAGCATGTTTGAGCTTCCTCAAGAACCAATGAGGTTTGATCTCCTGTGTCAATCAGGTTCGGTTGAGCTTCTTTTTATGTTCGCTGATTGATGTTTATATGTGAATAAAAGACTAAATTCTGTTCATCATATGAAGCGATCGAGAAAATTTGGACTAAACCTCTCAATTCATATGGATTAGTTTCACGAACTTCAGTATCAACAGTGTCCAAGGGGCGGGGCTTAGCGGAGGATCAGTTACAGGCAGGTGTAATAGAGCAGGGCAGGGGCTTAACTCTGTAGGAGCTGGATTGAGTTGTTCTGGATGTCCGAAATTTCAGATCATGAAGTTCCAGATCATGAAGCCTACATGAAGTTTAGTAAAACTCTTTGACCGCACCGCAAAACCTCTGAAACGTTTTGTTATTCTATTTACAGGCAGTCAAAGCCTCAACCCGAAGCGTTGTTTTTGTTGTCTAGTATTAGTTTGACAGTGACCAGCAGGGGGCGCACTGGACCTTCACCGAGGCATCTGAAGGCCTATATCAGAGGCAGCTGTGGACATCTGACCTCGCTCCCTTCATGCCATTGGCTTTGAGGTAATGTTTGCTTACAGCACTGACAGTAATCTGAGTTGTAGCGAAACACTGATCAATCAAAAGCCTCTGATTTCTCTTATTCAGTGAATAAACAGTTGGTTATCCTTCTATCTTCAATTGAGAGTTTACCAACCTGTCATTTCCTTTTTCAACTGTTTATATAGCCTATATAGGGGTGGATTCAGGTTGATTGGGACACTTTTTGCCATTGAGATGACTGGAGAAAAGTGTCCCAATCAACCTGAATTCACTCCTGTGCATGACTTCTAAAACTATATATCAAAACTACACAGTAAAAAATTAGATGATCAATAAGTTATGACTTTTACATTGCTTTGACACTAAAATAAGTTAAGCAAATTTCAACCGGATTTCAACTTTTTTTAATAAGATATACAGGATTTAATTCATTTTTTGAAGTCAACAATGTAATTTAAGTTGAAATAACTTAAAGATCCAAGTTGATTGTAGGCTACTTAAAATGTAAGGCGGCAACTTTTTTTTTACAATGTAGAGAACTATTGATTATTTGAGGTTAACATACTTGTGGTTTAATACTTTTTCTTCTGTTTCCATGAAATCCCACGTTCACACGTTGACTCGGTCCTGTAAAATGGCAGACTGCAGCGTTTGTTAAACGTTCATTTCATTTGCAGTTGATGATGGAGCTGGAGTCTCAGCGAATCCCCCCGCAGCAGCTTTACATGCAACCCAATGTCAACACACTTAACATTAGACATTCACTGTATCAACTGCGCTACAGCACGAGCACACACGCAGAGGAACAGGGAAAGGGAATCGGTGATGTTTCTATGAGCTTTACGTTTTCAGTGAGTGAGTGAGAGAGAGAAAGAGAGGGAGAGAGAGAGTTGAGATCTTCACTCTTCACATGAATGCACTCGTTATACAGGGATCAGCGCGCGAACATGCTGTGGAAACTGGTGGAAAATGTCAAGTATGAAGATATATACGAGGTAAAGAGACGATATTACAAACTGCATCCGCATCTGTGTTTTTTCACTGTATGGTTTATTTATATAACGACAAAAGTTACGTTGCATTTGGTCGTGATTTGATTTTTTTCCTAAAATATTTGTCTTTTTTTTTATATGGGGTTTATGATGGTTATTACAATAATGAAGAAAATCAAATGATAAAGGTTTAATTAAAAAAAATATAAGCTATATAAAAGATATTGATAGGCCTATATATTTATATAGGCCTATTTAATATAAAAACAGTTTGTCATATTTTACTTCGGTCTTTTCTATAATTCTTGAATGCATTTTTACCATTTTATTATGTAGTAACTTTTAGCAGGTTACTATATTTTCTTAAAAAATATTTTTAATTTGTTTTCTGGAGAGTTTTTAATATTATAACCCAATAAGCCACGTAAATGATAGCCTTAGAAATTTGTTAAAAATAAAACAGATAGGCTTCTGTAACTGCTTTTTTTTTTAATTGAGGCACGGTTTGAAACATTTGTATTGTTTTTATGTATTGAATTAGATATTTTAAGCATTTAAGTATTAGCATAAAAACAAAAATTATTATGCACTGAAATTTTTTGTTGAGAATCGCATCCAGAAAAGGAGAGGACGCAGAGTCACGCGTGGGAGTCCCGTGGATTCCCCTGAATGGTCTCGAGCTCGTGGGAGAGACTCGTGGTGGTTTTAGGAAAAGCCTCGCGGGATGCCGACCCAGAGAGTCACACATGGCTTTTCTCTCACAGTCACCGTCACGCGCGTAATTAAACACTTCGACCCCAGTCCGTGAAATCGACCATTATACGAGCTGTTTAATGGGGCTCCATTAGTGGGGGACTTTATACTGTCACCCGGTGCAAAAAGTACATTTTTTAAACCTGCCTCTGTTTTGTTTTTTTACTTCAACCATTTTTTTGTTCAACCAAATTGGTTAGGTTGCCTAAACCCCGATGATGCATCGAAAGTGCTTTATCATATTAGTGCAGTGCTGTTACCGTGTTAATGTTTTAGTGTGTGTCAAGGACCTGGGCCTGCTTAAACACTCATGCATGTGTTGTGATGTGAAACTATTGAGTATGGAATAATAAGAGCATAATTTGGCTAGTTATGGTGAAAGCTGTAAAAGACTGTTTCCCCCAAATTAAGATTTTTTTCAAGAGGTAAACTGACATGGCTTCTTTTTATAAACTCAAGGAAGTGTCTGATGGTTCTTACTATTGTGAGTTTGGGATGGTAAGTGTCAGAATAGCTATAGTTGATGTTATAATGCATATAAAGTATGTGAGTATCTAGTGCTTGTGAATGAGGCCTCAGTCCATCTGCCCTGTTCAAAGCAGCTGATTCCGGAGATTCGTTTGTTCTGGCTGGAGATAAATGGACTCTGCACACACAACAATAACAGAAAAGACAACAATAGCAAAAGAAAGAGGTCTAGACCCGTGCATACCGGACCTCAAACAGAGAGGGGAATAAAACAGAGCACGAGTGTTTCCTCCTCCTGAATGAACGTCACTTACAGCAGCAGCGCCTTCACGCTCCGCTGCTCTCCACTGCTTTAAGTATTCCCGCAATATTAGAGGAGTCATGAATAACAATTATTCTGAGGAGGTGTAGCGAGTGAACGGACGGAGCACTGCGCACTCTGGATCGGGAACAGAACAGCACAACTGAGACCTGGAGCAACAGGGTTCCTATACGAGAAGTCATTTGAGCTGAAAAAACAAGTTTTTGTTCCGTGTGTGGTCATGAGGAGTTGAGAAAGGAGCGCGTTTCTTCAGGCGAGCGTGTATCGTACTGTCGCGTGTCCTTCTGCTCTCCGCGAGCTCGCGCTTTTCCGCACAGATGTTAGTGCACACGTATTCCTCCACGGTGAGTCTGGGAACACCAACTATAGCTACTTTATTGTTGCGTTGTAAAACGCACTGTGGGAAAGGCGACGTGTAGTTACCTGTTTAATTAGGCTATGCCTTTGCCCCTTTTTTTTATTTATTTTTTTGATGTTTTGAGAAGTTATAGCTACAGTCGGAAAATACTCATATTTTAAAAGCTTATAGGCTACTTTATAGGATCGCTACGGACGCCCATATAGTGCTAAATATCCTTTCGATAGGCTATTGTTGGATCCGGTCCAGAAGCCTAACATCCATAAAAGTTTATTTTATTCCTCAAATAGAACATTAAAACAAATGTTTGCATAGATTCGCATGTAACCGTGTTTATATTCTCTTCCCGTTTGAAGGACCGCCATGATGGGGTACCGAGCCACAGTTCCAGACTGTCCCAGCTGGGTTCGGTCTCTCAGGGTCCGTACTCCAGCGCTCCGCCGCTCTCACACACACCGTCCTCGGACTTCCAACCACCGTACTTTCCCCCGCCGTACCAGCCGCTGCCGTATCACCAGAGTCAGGATCCGTACTCGCACGTCAGTGACCCGTACTCTCTGAACGCTCTCCACCAGCCCCAGCAGCACCCGTGGGGCTCCCGTCAGCGGCAGGACGTGGGCACGGAGAGCGGAGCTTTACTCCCGCAGCCTCGAGCCTCTTTACCGCAGCTCTCGGGTCTGGACCCCCGGCGGGACTACTCGACCGTGCGCCGACCGGACGTGCTGCTTCACTCCGCACATCACGGGCTCGAGGGCATGGGAGACGGGCTGTCCCTTCACGGCCTGGCGCACGGCATGGAGGATGTGCAGGTTGGTTATGATTTATGAGTTTTGGCTTGGACAACAACCTCTTTTTTGAGGATACACTGTAAAAAAAACTGTTTTGATCCTTTGTTATCACAATTTTTTTTTGTCAAATCAATTTAGATAATTTATGTGGTTCAGATAACATAATTTTTGAGTTTCTGTTGATTAAACCAATCTCCATTGTATTAACTCGTTTTTTAAATTTCAATGTAGGCCAACTTACAATTTTAAGTTAAACCAACAATATTTTTTTACAGTGTAGAAATTGCACAGAGACGTGGAATAAATCATTTGTAATATATTTTTCTTTTGCAGTTAAGATGAGCTAGTCATTTTATTTAACGAATTAATTTAGTTTAGATTTTTTTTCCCATACTGTTTTAAATAGTCGCAGAACAGCTCTACTATGACAACTCTGTAGCCTATATTTTCAGGGTGTTTTCTGACCTGTTGACATTTTATGGCTAAATATTTTAACAGATTGAATTATTTCCTGAACAATATCCTATTAATAAAAGGAGTCCAAACTATCGTATAGGCTATAGCAGTGGAGCTTAATATTTTAAATACCCTAAAGGCATGCTTGTTATTCAATAATTTGTTGTCGTGGTAAACACATTTTCATTTGTTATTTGTACGTGATAAATAATATTTAAAAGGAAGAAAACTTGCGTTACCTAAAAATAATTGTTGCAATGGAATGAAAACATTACAAACAACAAATATGTTAAGGCTTCTTCTGGGTTCACTTTTCTAACCATCTGTTTTTTGATCAATATATTTCTCTGCACACATCATGTCTAATTTCGTCAATTGACAAGTTTCTGGGTAATATACATTTTTAGACAAGGCCTGTCCCCGTTCAGTTGACTGGATAATGACTGTCTGACTCTCTTCCCAAAATAATTATAAAACTGTCATCTGACTTTTTTTTTCTTTCTTTTTTTTTTTTGACAAAGGAAGATTTTGTTTAGAATTTATTATTTTGTTTAAATTAAATCCAGATTAGTTTACGTTTCCTGACGAAGGCAGGACCATTAATAAAACCCATTTAGAAAGCTTAAATGGAAAGTGTTTATTCTGGACAAATAAGTGAAAACAATGGGAAAAATGAGACCTAAACTTTTTTTTTAAAAGCAAAATTTCAATTGCTTATGTTCGCTATTTGGATCCGAGTTTTTTTTCTTTTCTTTTTTTTCCTTTTTTTTTCTGAAATGTAGGCCTATTTCTATTTATATATTTTTGGCAATGTCTCTGGTCCAATTCACTTTAATTTTCTAAACTAAACAAAATGTCAATGTCCTGAAGTTATCTGAATTTTATAATTGGTTGTGGCTTTTGTTCAAACGTTAAATGCTTTCACATTATGATGTATTTTTAGGCTTTGGAGGACGCAAACGGCGGGATGAACATCCTGGATCAGTCAGTCATTAAAAAAGGTAAATGAGAAAATAGCTGGGAGAATTATGTCAGTAGCCTATTTACGCTAATGTGATACTTTTATATTTTCAATTATCAACAGCACCGTTTTGGAAAACGATCTGATATAAATAATGGATTTAGGGCAAAAAGTCATTTCAGGTGAACACACCTTAGCACACCCTTTTACGCATGCGCTGAACCACATCTGGTATTCAAATGATGTCACCTGGCTGTTATCTTAACTTTGGACACCCAGTCAAAGCAAGTGGAATTGGAGGCCATTAAATAGGCCTATTATTTTAAAATCACATAGGCTAGTATACTGTTAGGATCGTTGAAGGCGTAAGTTCTTATCAGCTGTCTCTTTTATTTTATTCATATAGGCCTATTATTAACATAGAGGGCAAATTTCAGATTGATGTATGCCTATACATTTTTCTTGGACAAAAATCGGAAAAGATGACTGTGTAAAATCGACATTTCAGCACCACTTTGTTGACATAATTTCTCCACGGAGGTTTTGACATATTTACTCTGAGATAAGGCGTTCATGCAGTCATAAGAGCTCCAGCAACACTCCCTGGGCTCGTGTTAATATGTGTCCGTTATGAAGGACGTTTGCCGGTAATTTAGTTAACGGAACACGGGCCTCCCAGAAGAGAAGGCCTTTAAGTGGGCGCTGTGATGGATGGTTTTCTGAGCACAGATCTCGTGAGCTCGTTTACAGCTCGTTTTCTCTATTATCCCCTGTAGAGATCTCCGCGGGCACGCGCGCTCGTTACCCCATTAGCGCTTAAGTAGACGTCCTTTGACGGTCAGCGTGTGAGAGTGTGTTTTTGGGGGGTGAAAAATAAGTGGTTAATGTTATTAGCTTGTGTCAATCACCAGTCGATAATACAACAAATGAGCGTAGTGTTGAAATGCCAATGTGAAAACAAAAGCAGATAGAAAGTGTGACTGAATTGGGAAATAAATGAATCTCTACCACATTGAATAGCCTAGCCTACTATTATTGCTAACCGCACAAACTGGACCATGGAATCCACATTCCTTTTCAATATAACACCATTGATGATAGCTGGCAACATGCTTAGATAACGTCATTAATTGAATAATAACAATTGACCCTTTCCACATTTCCGGGTTTCAGAGAAGCGGAAGTCGTCATAGCTGGGTAAACTTATATAGAGACTATGAGAGACTAGCTACATTAAATATATATTTCGTGTTCCCATTTGCTCAAAAAACAAAAGAAAAACTCTACAATAGTGTTTACACAATTAACTTTCAAAAGAGGGAAAATAGAGATAGATTAGTCACTCCCACAGCCGCCTATTAAACACCCTCACAGCCTTAACTAATTTTTTTTGATGTGATGCAAAGGTAGGCTATGTAATACAAAGTAGGATATAGTGTTATAAATGTAGGCTATAGTGTTATAAATGTAGGCTACATAAAAAAGCAAAAAAAAAAAAAAAACATTTATGATAGCCTAGGCCACTGATGACCCATAAAACGTCCATAAAAAATGCTCCATAAACTGCAGGCTTTCCGTGCTTCTTTGAATTTCTAGACAATTCTGGCTTGCTTTCTATTGAACGTGGAATAAACGTATGAAAACAGGAGCACGCGCTGTCAGCTCCGGGCGCGTGCGGGGTGACCCAGGCCAGCCGAGGGCTCGAGCTCACGGCGCTTTCATGTGCCAAGATTTTACATTACATAATATTCTCACAGGCTGTCTGTAGTCTAGACATTGTTTTAAAATAGTATCTATTGTTTTATCGCTGGGGTCATTTTGTGAAGCAAGTATACACAGCTAGAGTAAAGCGGCCATCATTAGTTAAATGTGAGTAGCCTATAGGTCTATTATAGCTCAATTTTCTGTTTGATTCTCTCTCACAGTTCCAGTTCCTCACAAGAGCGTCGCTTCTCTGATGATGAACAAAGACGGTCTGATCGGCGGGATCTCCGTGAACGCGAATGAGGTTTTCTGCTCGGTTCCCGGACGCCTGTCGCTTCTCAGCTCCACATCCAAATATAAAGTGACTGTTGGCGAGGTCCAACGACGCCTCTCTCCGCCAGAGTGCCTGAACGCTTCTTTGCTTGGCGGGGTTTTGCGGAGGTGAGAACATCATATCCCCCACAATCCAAAAGCAGTGTAGAGATCAATGCCATTAAAGACAAAAAAAAAAAAAAAATTGTTATAGGCCTATTAAAAATCTTACATTTAATTTGAAACTCAAACATCAAATTTTCTGACATAGCGTTTTTGTTGTTGTTGTTGTTTTGAGAGAGAGAAATAGTTTAAAAAAAGATAGGGCCTATCTAGTTTTGAATTATACATTTTCATGCTGTCAATCCGTAATGAAACATATCTAATTATCCATTTTCTGATCAGAGCGAAGTCGAAAAATGGCGGTAGATCTCTGAGGGAAAAGCTGGAGAAAATCGGCTTGAATTTGCCCGCGGGGAGACGCAAAGCAGCGAATGTCACTTTACTGACGTCTCTAGTAGAAGGTAAAGCAGGACATCTGATTCTGATTCCAATGTTCACGGATTCCTTTCTTCATATCCTCGATTTTTTTCTATGTGTTTGGGAGTTTAGCCTCATCAAATAATCACCAATTCCAATGGAAAACTATTTCTTTTTTTAATCGGAACGTTGTGTTTAATCGTCCATCTTGAATCCATTTTGAATAGGCTACAATTTAAACCTAAATGAAAATTTGGACATACGAATGAACCACTATCATGATGCAAAATGCAATTTTATTGCTTTGAGAGTTTCTATAATCTGCTTTTCTTATCTTGCTTAGCCTAATACAGCGCAAATAGTTAGCTAACAAATGGAAAAGCACTAAAACGAAATTTTACCCAGTATAGCTTATTTCATATAATTATTGTTGTGAGTGACTGTCTTATTAATGCTGCAACACAATTTTTCATTTGGTTAATCTCTCCCTCCAGTTGAGTTCAACTGCAGCTAGGCTGCTGCGGCTGTAGGCTAATTTATTAAAATAGTTTATGCGAAAATGTGCAGTATCCCAGTAATTCCCTTTTACTAGATTGTATTTATTTTTCATTTCCAGGAGAAGCTGTTCATTTGGCTCGGGACTTTGGCTACATTTGTGAAACTGAATTTCCTACAAAGGCCGTGTCTGAATATCTGAACAGACAACACACAGATCCAAACGAACTGCACTCGAGGAAGAACATGCTGCTCGCCACAAAGTACGTAGTATACGTGTCACAACGTGTTTGTTGCATGCTTAAGTGATATTTATCCATTCGTTGCCTTCACTGGAAGCTGGGAATCGCTTGAGCAAATGTGTAGCCACATTTAGAGGTGAACGCGGAATCCATCACGGATTGCTGGGGAGTGTGTCGTTTTGATGGCTGTCCGCTTAGTGCCTGGTGCGTTTTGACACGTTTAGCTGGTTTCTAATGAGGCAGTTCAGGCCCAGCAGAAACACGCGTCTCTTATCCATCTTAGCCTGGCACCGAGCTAGAAACTCATTATATTTAAGTGAAATGTTTCAAGTCTTAAAGTGCCAGCTTTCCCCTTGAAGTTTTGCCTAAGGTCATCCCTCCTCCCTCGCCTCTCCTTTCACAGTCTGTCTGTCAAAGTCCCGTCAGTCAGCCCGCGCCCGCGCCCCCGCCCCCTGCACGCGCCTCGGGCACTTCGCGCGCTGCGCTCTCCCGACTGGACAACAAGACTGTTTGTGGTTCTGAGACGTGAAAGCGAATGTGGGTCAAAATCTGACAAGCCCAGACAACTGCAGATGCCGCAGCAGGGCTCTGCAACACTGCCAGTTGGAGGCATTTGAACTGTTTGTCACAAATGACCTTTTAGAGATTGAAGTGTGATCGTTCGCTTGGATTCTTACGTTACACCTCCATGCATTATTATTATAATATGAATAGATTACACAAGTACGTTTGGGTAGCCTTAGCCTACATGCTGTTAAACCCATAAGAATTTAATATGCATTCATGTTTCGTCATGCATTTTTTCAAAATATTTACAATGCATCAATTGTAAATTACTTCAACGCTGCAAGTGTTAAAGAGCAGAAAATATGAATGATCTTGCTGATAGCCTAATATTACTATAGGATCATACTTTGGTCACAATACGCACAAGATCCATATTTAAACTGTAAGCTGGAATGTGGAGGTCAAATGTTGAAAGGTCATTGTATGTCAGGCCATCTGGGCACATGCTAAAAGTTAGCCTGAATTTTTTCCACTATATGATTCCCCAAAGCAAGAAAGGCATGAATATTTAGTGCACTACCTCTTTCGGGAAGTGAAACACGCTGAGAACGGCATATTCCGCGGTAATGACAGATAAAGACACACTCCCAGTAGACTGGAAGTTAAATTGATGGCTTTATTCTAATTTATAGGCTTTGCTCTCAGAAGCAGAAATATGCAGACTTTGCTCTGAGGATGTAAAGTTCTGTATCTCTTTTCTTATATGGACACTGAACTCTGGAGAGTTTCATTAAAAGTACACTTTTTGTTTAAAAAATAAAAAAATATATATTTTGCAGAAATATTTTTGGACACTTTTTGGTCACAATGTGATTGGGGGATGAGAAATAGGTATTTTACCCATGATTCCCAGGGACACAACAGAGCTACTGAACCTGTCAGAGCACCTGTTTTCCTAAGTGTTTTCTATTACTCAGAATGAGATAATTAGGAATGTCTTGAACAATCACATCATGATTATACAAGACATTATACACAGTAAAAAAAAAAAAATGCTAGCTTGCTGCCTTAAATTAAGTACAATCAACTTGGATGTTTAAGTCATTTCAACTTAAATTGCAATAAACTGAATTTAAAAAATAGTTTAATCTTGTATAATAAAATTTAAAACGTATTAAATTTAATTTAAACTCATTAAAACTTATTTTGATGAGTTAAAGCAATATAAAAACATGTCACTTATTGAACTTTGTTATTTTACAGTGCTATTGTAATCTGTTTTACTGTTTGATCAGTGAGAGTCTGACATATTGAAAGTTTTCAATAATTATTTTCTAATTCTATCTATTTCATCATAAATGTCCAAATGCTAAAGTCACAGTGCTGGTAATTTATGGATGAGGGTTTTCAGAGTTATAATGTGGCTTTGATATTATGTATGAGGTTCTCCTTTATAATCAATGTTTCACACAAAGTTAAAAGAATATGTAGATTTATATATAAAGAAATAAGTAGGAATATCCATGGCAGTAAGTTGACAGCTTCTGTTGTGGGCTTTTTAACGGAATCAGGGTTGGCGTCTGTTCCATTTGACTGTTTAATTCAACTTATGACTTAAATTCATTTCTTGAAAAATGTATGCTGTTATCCATGAGCGAGCAGGTCGCTTTTCCTTAACTGATACAGAAGATCAAGCACAAACCTTCTGATATGTTCTGATAAATGTGAATAAAGAATTTGTCATGCTTGATGTGCCAGGAAAAATGACATGACATTCTCTGATTGGATCACAACTGTGTGTAAGGAATTGGATAGGAAACAGTTAATACTAGTGCAACCATGATTGATCCTCAAACTCACCTGACTAGTCTTGCTATAGGCAGAGCATGTCTAGACCCCACGCTGTCCCATTAGCTAAATGTTGTGCATTTATTGGCATTTTAGGTCGAGATTATTTCAGAATAAGAAATGCAGTTCCTCTAGTGACCTTGCAGACACTCAACATGAGACAAGCAACAATACATATAATGAACATATCATACAAAAAAATTTAACAGACAGACAGCATACATGAAATTTAGTGCATTATTAAAATCTTTAAAGGAGCATTTGGCTATACACTCTTAAAAATAAAGGTTCTTTACTGGCATCGATGGTTCCTAGGGAACCTTTAACATCCGTGGAACCTTTCCATTCCACAAAAGGTTCTTTTGATTATTAAATGTTCTTCTCACTAAGAAAACAATTCTTTTAAGAACTGTTGACAAAGGTTCTTTGGGGAACAAAAAAAAAAGGTTCTTCTACGGCTTTGCTTAGAAAAACATTTGGAACCTTTTTGTGCACACTTAGAAACAAATATTTAATATATAAAATATATAGAAATGTCTCAAATGATTGCATAACACTTTCATGTTTAATGGGTCATTTATTTATTTTCTATATAGTGATAAAATGTTTATGAGCTGTTTTATTGAAAAATGAATTAAAACAAAATAAAGATGACAGAACCTTTCCTTCTAGAGTGAACAGAATAAGAAAGTTCATCCAGTGACCTTACAGACACTCCACATGAGACAAGCAACAATAAACACAACAATACCCACAATACACTCTTAAAAATAATGGTTCCCAAAAAGGGGTTTCACATTGACCCCACAGAAGAACCATTTTTGGTTCCCTAAAGAACCTTTCATTCAACAGTTCTTAAAAATAACCTTTTTATTCCTTAACATTTTAATAATTCAAAGAAAATGTTCCACTATAGAAGGACCTTTTGTGAAATGGAAAAGTTCCATGGATGTTAAGTTCTGCATGGAACCATAAATGCTAATAAAGAAGCTTTATTTTAACAGTATATAGTACCAAAAAGTTATCAGACAGCATATGAATTTAGTGCATTATTGCATTGTTGAAAGGAGCATAATATTTTTTTCCACTGTGAGAAGTAATTATTGCTCATAAGTGTATTTCACTTCAAATTAGCCTCTAATTCTTCATTTATAGTATTGAATAAACTCTCTGGCCGCCACCTCCGGCAAGATTTCCTCGTAATTAAACACAAATTGTCTCTCTTGTGGAAATTTCTGTGCTACAACAAAGCGTCATGCTATACGGTCCAGTCCATCACTGATGTTACATCCATAGTATGATCACGACAAAGATTCACCGCATTCTGACAAACCATGAAAAACACATATACTCTGCATAATCGCAGCAATTCTTTACAAATTAAGTTCTCGGTCTGATTTTTCATAAACAGATTATAAGCCAAATTTGAAAACTTCAACACATTCTTTATAACACCTTGGGGGAATATTCAGAATAGCTCGTCTATGGAAATGCAAGAAAGAGAAATGAACTGTAGAGCAATTTTGGTTGTGTTTCTTTGGATGGTCTGTGATTTGAATCGTCTCTCTCCCTCTCTTCTCAGGCAGTTGTGTAAGGAGTTCACGGACCTGTTGGCTCAGGATCGCACTCCATTAGGAAACTCTCGGCCTTCGCCCATCCTGGAGCCAGGAATCCAGAGCTGCCTGTCACACTTTAGCTTCATCACGCACGGGTTTGGTTCTCCAGCCATCTGCGCCGCCCTCACGGCTTTGCAGAATTACCTGACTGAAGCCCTTAAAGGCCTCGACAAGATGTTCCTGAACAACCCCACTTCCAACCGACACACATCTGTAGACGGACCCGGCTCCAAAGGCGGAGAGAAAGAGGAAAAACACAGGAAATGAACTGTGGAAATACGATATCAAGGAGGCGGAGTCATTGGAGATGTTCAGAGATTCTATAAACTCTAGTTTTATGACATTGCGTTTTACATTCTGGGTTGAAGGTGGAGATTGGACAAGAGATCACGGGAAAACGAAAGGAACGATACGATACAAGAGACTGGAGGACATGAGTCTGCCGTGACACGTTCACCATCTTCATCTCATTGGTGTGCGAGTGTGAACATATTCAAGGAGTGTTTGTGAGTGTGTGTTTTTGTGTATAAACGTTTGACATTTTACATGATGTTAGACGCAGGCTGTCCTTTACACACATGCTCATGAATCTGATACCTGATATTTGAGTGTTCATCCGTGTAATGGCCAGCACATGAGAGGACAGGTTTGCTTGAGACATTGGTGGAGACACTTTTAGCTACTATATTTAATTATACTTATTATACAAAATTATTGGTGCACAGTTCTGCAATATTAAACACATTCCATTCAGCCTTCGCCAAGATTACAGTAAAACAAAAGTGGTTGTTAAGTGAAACATTTGCTCCATTGCTTGAAAGAGAGACAAATTATTCAAATCTAGGAGATTTTATTGCATTTATTGCAATGAAATAGTGTTAGCCAAAAAGAGGCTGTAAATGTGCTACAATAAAGCATCATGCTAGTTACGTTACAGTCCATCACTGATATTACATCCATAGTATGATCTATGACAAAGATTCACATATACGTTATAATCACAGCAATTCATTACAAATGAAGTTCTCAGACTGATTATTCATATAAAGATACCAAAACTCTGAGATTTAACATATTCTTTCAAACACCTCGGGCAATATTCAGAATAGCTTGTCTACAAAAATGCAAGAAAGAAATGAACATGAGAGCAATTTTGTATTTTTTGGTTGTATTTCTTTGTATTTGAAACTGCTCTTGCTAGTGCTATGGCCATTGGGTTGTGAGGACATTTTCAGCAGGTTACTTTTAACATGGCAATCATCTTAGCTGACCAAATGACATTTCATCTGTTGCTTATGTATTTTTTTTTTAAATGTATACTAACATTTACACAGACTTAAATCAACATAGACAAAGAAAACTCATTTTATGGCCTAAATATGGATTATTTGTTTTACAACCCTACATCAGCTGAATGGAAGCTTGCTTTGACCGTGGTGTTGACAGTGTCAACAAAAAAAAAAAAGACTTTTGAAAACAGACTTAAAAAGGGTCTGCATAAAACTGAGGAAAGGACAGGTGACCGCGCGTGCTGGGACACGGCCACGCGCAGTTTTTACGCGCTCACCTCAACCGGCGTGGGCGCGCACTTTCTCAGTCCCGCAAGCTGGATTATAGCCTGTCTGTCAAAGTTAATATTTGGTTTACTGTGCGAAGAAGGCTCTTTTATTTATGTTTGTATATATTTATTTATGCTTAATTTAATGGGCGTATGTACATAGGAATAGACTGGGTCGTCTATCTGTGACTGTCTCTGTGCGTGGGTGGACGCTTGTTTTAGATAGCATCTTGTATTTTTTGTTTCATAGATACGGTGTTATGTGGTGAAGGCTAGAAGTTGGTTCTTGTCTAGTGATTTTCATTTACCTCGAAATAAGAATAAAACGTGTGTTTTATTGTAGGTGTTGCAGTGTGGTTGGTTAACCCCTTGTGTTCTTGTTTCATGCATACACGTTTATGTGACATGCAGTTTAAATGAACAAAAACGTTTATTAAAGTAGTTTTAATAAAAAAGTGCCTACATCCATAATAACTATTAAATATCAGATGAATAACACGGAGCCCTATCATTATTAATCATTTTATTTGCATAAAATAACATTTTTAGACAAAGTAGGCCTATAGCTGTCAGGCAACAGTATGGAATTTTACAAGATTGGATTTGCAAAGGATAGGCTATATTTTATTTCAGAAAAAAACAACAATATCATTAGTTTTTTTATAATTATTAATTATAGCCTATACAGATTTTAGAAAATAAATTATTTAATCATAAACCTCCAAGTATGTTTCACCCAAAGCATAGCCTATATAAATGTTTTCTTTAAACTGTTCCTAGGATATTTATTTTGTTAATAGTTCACTAACAGAAGTAAGGGAGGTAATAGGCCTACTATGAGAAATAAATAAGCTGCATTCAATTAAATGTCAGTGCTGTCAGTTGTATTCACAATATTAGGTCAGAATATGACTTTAAACGTTTGTTTATAGCCTAACCATAAACGGATCAGCTAAAGATTGAAGGGGCTATTTGTAAAAAAAAATATTAAAACGCAAAAATCGGTCATTAAAAGACCTTTAGGCTAAATTTATTGTGAATATTATTCTTATATAAACATCTCGTAATATTTTCATCATCAAACACTGACTTATAGCCTAATGCAATCAGCAGAACGGAAATCAACAAGAATCGTAAATGTAAAACGGAAATGAGAATTCTGATTTTGCTTCCTGTCTCGTTTTAATGCAAGCAAAGAATGCCCAAATTCATCGAAAACAATTCCTTGAAGGCGTGTGTCCGCGGTCGTGGCAGTAAAGTGAACTCATATCCCGGCCGCAGGTCAGACCCCGCGCGCATCAGCTCGCGCTGGTGTATTTAATGCGGAGGAGCGCGTGGCCCGCGGGTTCCGTCGCGTGACTCGTCATGCGTGAAGTATTGTGACCCAGGTGCAGCACCCGCATGTCCGCGAGCGACGTGGATCTCGACGAGATTCAGAGATTTCTCTTCAGCAGAAAAAAAGACTAGCCTCCCTCTTACCCACGGGACCTGAAACAACACAAGCCGAGATCTTTCATCCTTCCCTCGAACTCGGTTCTCATTACCTCTAAAAGAAGGGGGGAAAAAACAATAGGCTACAACAAAAGCCCATAAGACCAAACCCATAGGCCTATCTAATATCACTGATTTGTATAGCCTACTCAATAATGACTTTAAACAATAACTGTTTTTTTTTTAATCATATAGGCCATCTAAATTCAGTAGATGTTTTTCCCAGAGCATAAAAAATAAAATGTGCATCAACAAAATGCCCAATGGGCTATAATACCAATAGCCCACAGAAAAGCTCCCTGATTGTATCAAACAACTGACACAATTTTGAGCTCTTTTATCCAAAGTTGTAACCAAACATTCATGATTGGTTGAAGCCATATATAGGCTAAGTTGAAAATCGGTCATTAAAAATCCATTTATCCTTCATGATCAAAAGAGGGAAAGGTAAAACACAATGGCATGAATACAATGCCAAAACATAAAATATCGATTGCTTGATAGACCTCAGGCCTGGTCACTAAAATGGATCTGAAGAGGAACATGCTATTGCGTCCTAAGACTAAAGGTTATTTTTTTTCTGTCTATTTTTCATCATCTTATTTTTTCGGGATGAGAGGAGGAAGAAGAGCTTTGTCTGAGCTTTCAGGTCCCCGTGCTCGCTGTCACGCAATGGACTGTAAAAATGGTTTATCCAGACACGCGCCGGGCGCGCGTAATTCCTGCTCGAGGCGTGATGACCGCAGGCAGCGCGAGCCTAACTGATCAACCTGGATATTTCATTATTCATTAATTTACTGTTTAACAAATCCCGCTCGCTCATTATCACGGGAGCGGCTGGCAAGATCCGACCGTTCGGCGGCAGTTGGTGTCAGGCGTGGAGAATTGGCCCATTTGATCCTGAGCTGTTTTTTTCTCTCTCTGTGTATTATTATTATTATAGGCTATTCAACATCCCGAAACAGCTCGAGATCGTCATGAATAATAAGCAGCGCGCGAGCTTGTCAAAGCCCGTTGAGCGTGACACAGCCTGTGGAAAAAATCGAGGCGTTTTTAATATTAACCCCCACTTCAGTCACTATTTGGAAAAGACAAAACAACACGCTGATAAACTAACGGAAATATGCGATTATAGGGCAACGACACGCGTCCGCAGTGGACGAGAAGGACATCAAAAGCAAAGTGTCTCATCAGGCAGTTAAAAGGTTCTGTAAGCGATTATTTTGAATAGCAAACACATGCTCCTCTACCTGAGATAGCACACTGACATATTAAGTGTCCTGAGATATCAAATCTGCCTCAGGGAGCGGCCCGCCTTTTTAGCCAATCAGAAAACTTTAGCCAATCATAAACGCGCTGTATCTGTCAATCATTTTGCGCGCCTTCGTGAGTGAGGAGTCGGGACCCTTTTCACACACTGTGATGACGCGGTTGAACGGTCATCAGCATGTAGCATGCAAACGTTTTTTTATATTGTCATTTTTTTAAAATGTATGTAAATGTATGACACTACACTTAGTAGCCTATATTACCTTTGCATCAAATTACAAAACGCTGCTGTGAGGGCGTTTCAATATAGGCTACTGGCTGTGGAAGTGATGGTAAAGTTTACATCTTTCTCCCTTCTGACTGCCGTTATCAATCTCTCTCTATGTTTTTCCTTTTTTTTAAAGTTGTGAAAATACTATATGTAGCAAATGGGAACACACACACACACACACACACACACACACACACACACACACACACACACACAAATGTAGCCTCTCATTCACTACGACTATGACGTCAAGCTGGACTATGACGACTTCGCTTCTGAGAAACCCGGAAATGTGAAAAGGGTCAATTTTTAGAGGGCGAGAGGTTAAATGGATACATGCAGTTTTTTTGTTAGCAATGTTAGCAAAATGGCATTTTACAGGACATTAAAAAATAGCCTACAACACAACAATAAGGCTAGGTTTTGTTATTGTTCACTTTGATGAATGTGTAATGCGTCACAAATAAATAGCAATACTTGGCAAAATAAGTGTACATTTGTTCTAATCACCATGGCAGTTAATATAAGCTAAGACTCTAATGAGAGAGTTGACATGTAGTTGCAAAGAATGTTCAAAAGGGACCATTAAAATAAAGTGTTAAAAGAAATAGCTAAAGATGTACTTCTTTTGCAAGCACTTGCTAATGAAACAGGCACTGCATTTAAACAAACTAGAAAAACTGCTTTTACTTTTGAAACTGAAAGTTGCAGTACTATTATTGACTCCTGTTTGATAAACCGCTTGTGAGTTTCCCTGTTTGTAAGTGGCTTTAGATAACAGCATCCACTAAATGACTAAATGTAAATGTAGGCCTCTTGCTAGTGAATGGTTAATCAATGTCATCTTTCATTAACTGAGCATGATGTCGTTAATAGTTGTGGCGTACAGTCTCTGTATGCATAACTTCAGTTCTGTTTAATGCTTCATTGAATCAAAACACCTCCATGACCTCCTCATTCACCATGCTTTTACCCCAGCTCTGCATCTTCCTTCCACAGTTTCAAAGCAAAGAACATGAAGGAGCTCACGCAGGTAATGTATTTGATTTAAGATTCTTCAAGGGTTACTTAAGTTTTGCATTGAAGTTAAGCACAAAGAAAGGCTATAAAGGTGTTTGTTTGTTTTGTAATTTTCCAATACGATTCTCCAGGTATAGCAAACACAGACTCATAAAAATACATACAC